CCTGGCACCTGACAAGGCTGAACAAGCCCACGGCACAAGTTAGAGCAGTCTTGACAGGTATTGACTCCCAAGGAGCCATTCTGTTGGCTAGCCCACCTGAAATATATGCAAGAGGATCCAGATGAGAATTCCACTACATAAGGACAGGTTTCAGAGTAACAGCTGTGTAAGTCTGTATTCGCAAAAAGAAAAGGAGGACTTGTGGCACCTTAGAGACTAACCAATTTATTTGAGCATAAGCTTTCGTGAGCTACAGCTCACTTCATCGGATACATACTGTGGAAAATACAGAAGATGTTTGTTTTTATACACACAAATCATGAAAAAATGGGTGTTTATTACTACAAAAGATTTTCTCTCCCCCCACCCCACTCTCCTGCTGGTAATAGCTTATCTAAAGTGATCACTCTTCTTACAATGTGTATGATAATCAAGGTGGGCCATTTCCAGCACAAATCCAGGTTTTCTCCCCCCTCTCCACACCCCCCCCAAACAAACCCACTCTCCTGTTGGTAATAGCTTATCTAAAGTGATCACTCTGCTCAAATAAATTGGTTAGTCGCTAAGGTGCCACAAGTACTCCTTTTCTTCTTACGACATAAGGAGAATGTTCATCTACTGCCTTAAAGCAGCTTTAAGTTCCCTTTACACTGATAGAATAGTACAAAGGGGATGCATTAAAGGCCAAGTATCTGGCCTGCTATTGTTGGATTCTAGAAGGCAAAGCCCATTTTCAAGGAATGCCAATTTTGATCAAAAACACTTGATTTCCTTTTAAAGGAAAATATATATAAATATATATATATATATATACACACACACACACATTATCAAATGCTAAAATATCAGTTGATTTTATTTGCAAAGGTCAGGTATAGGAACACATCTTTATGAATTATAATAAAATTTGAACAACTTTCAGTCTTGTTTCATTTTCTGATTATCACAAGTTTGTTAAAAACAACTAACATACTTATTTTTTTTTAAATTGTGTAGTCAGAGGCACATCACATGATTATTTTCAGGTTTCCCTTATTTCCCTTTGTCAAACTGAATTAAATCACAAATTGCCAACATAAATGAAATATCAGCTCCAACAGTACAAATTATTTACTTATTACACAATTAATATTTAAAATTAATTTGACATATTTATGTGTCTATAAACAGTGATTTCTTGTGTTGTATAAAATTTCACAACAATTTTGTGCGGATGGAGAAATTAACCCAGTAACTATTTTAAAATTACAAAGTCACAATATAGCTGTTTAAAATCAAAATCACCAGTAAAACAAGAATACAAGTTAAATTCCAGAAGGCAACATTTTTACATGGTCCAACAGATTCAAGCTCAGGGTAAAAAATTAAAACAACTTTCTTTCCTTGTCTTCCAGTTTAAAAAATATGCAGGTTTGTATGTAATATTAGGTTTCCTAGGATTTTGAAGATACTTAGAAATCATTCAGAATTTATGAACAGCTTATCCACCAACATTTCTCACAAGAGATAATTGTTATCTGAAACTATTACAAGTAGTCAGTCTAAACATAATGGTGGATCTACACTAACGGCCTGACTCATGAACCCTTGAAGTCAATAAAGGTCTTTCTGTTGATTTCAATGGACTTTGGATCAGGCCTGATGGACCTAACCAGGGTGCTCAGCACTCTACATCCTTCAGGGTAGGCACTAGGATTTGGAAACTGCTCTAAGGACACAGGCAGATTGAGAAAGGTGGGTGTGGCTACTTGTCGTTGCCGCAGTTCAGCCCATCCACACACCAAACACTGTTTTTCCCAGAAGAGGTTTGGCACATCCACACAAAGTGTCTTACAGCCATGGTTGTCCCGGTGTATTTTGGGACTTCAGAAGCACCTATCCCATAGCTCCCACAGCTTGTAGCAGCGGATTAGAGTAATTTCTAAACATAAGGTACTGCGCTGTGGGATGGAGTTAGGTGGCCTGGATGAACTTGTGCAGCTGCAATGCTCTTAGTTTCCCACGTACACTGGGAAGAAATTATTAAACTGCATTGACTGAGACAGACCTGAGTCCAAGACTTTGTCTCAAGCTTTGTAACCAATAAAACAAAGTGCCCAGATATTAAAAAGTGCTCAGCAATCAGCAGTCGTCCCCATGCAGAGCACTTTATAATAGTTGGCCATTTCACTGATCTGCTAAAGGGGAGCTCAGTAGTTTTGAAAATCTGGCCCAGGGTGGTTGTACGGTGTCACTGATACTTTTCAATACTATTGGTACATCCTACAGTATCTCATGCTATTTGCTGGTCTCTATGGGATACGTGGATCTGGTATCATCCTTAATATATTATATCAAATGTTAGGAGAAACAACTCTAAATGACAGTAATCATTGTCAGTGCTATTCAGAAGCTGTCCACTATGGCCCACATAACTAATATTGGGTAGCATTGCTTTTTTTGGGTATTACCTCTGGCAGTTTGGGGAATGTGCCTGTGTCCAGTTATGAATCCCATTTGACATTATGAACACTATTTGTACTTGTAACAGTCAGTGTGCATTCGAATCACCATTTTGTGGCAGAAAACAGACTATACCTGAAAAACTGAAAGAGGGCCATAGACCTTGAACAGCCATACCCGAGTGGAACAATGGAGCCTACCGGCCAACCCATTGACTTTTAAGAACCCTCTGCCAGCAAACCTACCCAGTGGGGTCGGAGAATGGAAAATGCCAGTATAAGAAGAGAAGCAGAGAGAGGTCTCAGAACCTGGTTTTAAAAATAACATGCTCTCTGGCAAGGGGTGAAACCACTCTCAGAACCAAAAGACTCATCAAGGAGGAATGGGGCAAGAGGGACCTTACTCCCCTGAAAGACACTGAACAGAATCCAAAAGACTCAGAAATGGTGAGGTCTCTGAGAGAGGGAAATGTGTTCAGGTATTTGTTGTTTTCTATAGATCTGTAACTCTCTTATGCTGTTTGAGAGACAAGTGTGTAAGAAGTTCTTTTGCAAAGCTTGTGTATTCCTTACTTTAACTGTCACATGGTTCTCAAAGAGTTAAACTATACTCTGGAGTGCTGATGGTGGTGGACTCTAGGAGAGCATGCATAAGCTAGTGGTACACTTTTGGGGGGTTCAGCACAGGGCAAAAGGCAGTTGGACCACAGGGTCCCACATTCCAAGAAAGGGTGCCAGACAGGGAGTCTGCACCCTTGAAGTGTTCCTGAGACACCTAAGACACAATGCCTGGAAGTTGCTCAGATCCAGATGCTTGGAAAGCACAGGGGATCCAAAGTTTGGCCAATATAGCAGAGTGGCGATCATCCAAAGGGGAGACTGAATCAGGGCTGTAACACCATAATCAAATTATTTTTTGTCATTTAAATGATACACAGTCTGATGGAGAATCATTAAAAAAACCCTACATGAACAATTTAATTTTAACGAAGTGAGAATATAGATACATCTGGATTTCACTTGAAACATCATTTTTACTGCTTCTTGGCTAAATGCTGATCTTACATACATCATCATTGTCATAAATATAAAGGGAAGGGTAAACCCCTTTGAAATCCCTCCTGGCCAGGGGAAAGCTCCTCTCACCTGTAAAGGGTTAAGAAGCTAAAGGTAACCTCGCTGGCACCTGACCAAAATGACCAATGAGGAGACAAGATACTTTCAAAAGCTGGGAGGAGGGAGAGAAACAAAGGGTCTGTGTGTCTGTCTTATACTGGTTTCTGCCGGGGATAGACCAGGAATGGAGTCTTAGAACTTTTAGTAAGTAATCTAGCTAGGTATGTGTTAGATTATGATTTCTTTAAATGGCTGAGAAAACAATTGTGCTGAATAGAATAACTATTTCTGTCTGTGTATCTTTTTTGTAACTTAAGGTTTTGCCTAGAGGGGTTCTCTATGTTTTTGAATCTAATTACCCAGTAAGATATCTACCATCCTGATTTTACAGGGGGGATTTCTTTATCTCTATTTACTTCTATTTTTATTAAAAGACTTCTTCTAAGAAAACTGAATGCTTTTTCATTGTTCTCAGATCCAAGGGTTTGGGTCTGTGGTCACCTATGCAAATTGGTGAGGCTTTTTATCCAACTTTTCCCAGGAAACGGGGGATGCAAGTGTTGGGAGGATTGTTCATTGTTCTTAAGATCCAAGGGTCTGGGTCTGTAGTCACCTAGGCAAATTGGTGAGGCTTTTTACCAAACCTTGTCCAGGAAGTGGGGTGCAAGGTTTTGGGAAGTATTTTGGGGGGAAAGACGCGTCCAAACAGCTCTTCCCCAGTAACCAGTATTAGTTTGGTGGTGGTAGCGGCAAGGACAACGGGTGGAATATTTTGTACCTTGGGGAAGTTTTGACCTAAGCTGGTAAAGATAAGCTTAGGAGGTTTTTCATGCAGGTCCCCACATCTGTACCCTAGAGTTCAGAGTGGGGGAGGAACCTTGACAATCATCATGTCAGTGGAACTACTCCAAATGTACACCAATGTGACAGAGACCAGATTCTGGACTCATTTACACTTTTAGGAAAGACAGGAGTAACTCCACTGAAATCAATGGAGCTGCACCAGTGTAAAACTGGCATAAGTGAAGAGTATTAGGTCCATAATCTGGACCATTGTCTTCAGGAATTGATTGACAAGATAGAGGACTAAGCCATCAAAAAGTATATCAATTAAGCTGATTGTTTTTAAATTGCTACTAGCTCTCAATTTGAGTGGAAATCACAATATAACAATGCATCTTAAAACCATAAAAAGAAAAGGAGTACTTGTGGCACCTTAGAGACTACCAAATTTATTAGAGCATAAGCTTTCGTGAGCTACAGCTCACTTCATTGGATGCATACAGTGGAAAATATAGTGGGGAGATTTTATATACACAGAGAACATGAAACAACCACTGTGTCGTGTTCTCTGTGTATATAAAATCTCCCCACTATATTTTCCACTGTATGCATCCGATGAAGTAAGCTGTAGCTCACGAAAGCTTATGCTCTAATAAATTTGGTAGTCTCTAAGGTGCCACAAGTACTCCTTTTCTTTTTATGGATACAGACTAACACGGCTGCTACTCTGAAACCTGTCTTAAAACCATCTTATGTTGATACGGTCACCCAATAGTTAAATATGCAGGACATTGCTCAAAGCACAATCACTCTTTAAATACAATTCTGGGATTGGCTGTATCCATTTTGTTTTATTAACTCCATTAACCCTGGCAACTGATTCCAGCAGTAATACTGTGTTGGTTTAGTTTCTACATTCTCCCAGACCTTGCAAAGTAAAGCTAATATTATTAATTATTTCTAAGCTTAAGCAATAAATTGCCTTGAGCCCTAAGGTATGGGGTCATATTTTTAAACACCACTCCTGCAGCTGGAGTTTACATGTGGCTCATATTCAGAAGCAGTTTTGAATATGATATTGCTGAAATAGAGAAGAATTATTTTCCTGTATTCCAGGTTCCTTGGTTCACAGTCCTGTGCTTTCCAGGCATGCAGCCAAGTCCGGTCCTGTCTTCCCCTCCCCCTCTCTGTTTAAGAAAACCCATTTTAAGGCAGCTTTCTTTTACATCATACATTTCTCTGAACTTGGGTTGAATATCCATTCTGTCAAATCCAGTTTGCTGCCCTCAGAATCTAATACAACAGATCTTTCTTACACCTCAGCAGCTAAGCAGCCACAGAAAGGTTTTAATGGCAAACTGATATTTAATTTCTAAAATTATTATTATGTTTGAAAAGAGGTGAAAGGTTTATGATGAACAAAGATGGCTCTGCCACTGGGGTGAAACAAATGCACCTTCATCCCAATATTATAACTCCATTCCCATTTCTAATTTAGCCAAATAGCTCTTTCAGATCAAGTATCCACACAGGGGAATTGCTCCAATGCCCTAGCACAGAGCATGTGTGAACATTCCAGTAGGGGACTCCACAGCAAAAGTAGCAGAACTTCTGTGAATGCAGTAGAACCTCAGAGTTATGAACACGTTGGGAATGGAGGTTGTTCATAACTCTGAAATGTTCGTAACTTGGAACAAAATGTTATGGTTGTTCTTTCAAAGGTTTACAAATGAACATCGACTTAATACAGCTTTGAAACTTTACTATAAAGAAGAAAAATGCTTTTTTAAATCTTAATTTAAATGAAACAAGCACTGAAACAGTTTCCTTACCTTGTCAAACCTTTTTAAAAAACTTTCCCCGTACTTTTAGTAGTTTATGTTTAACACAGTACTGTAGTGTACAGTATTTGCTCCTTTTTTTATTTTTTTCTCTCTGCTGCCTGATTACATACTTCTGATTCCAAATGAGGTGTGTAGTTGATCGGTTAGTTCATAACTCTGAGGTTCTACTAAAGTTTAGTAATGATAGCAGAGGCCTGGGAGGCACATTCAAAGGTGTCATTAAGATCTTGGTCACAGAACTCCCTTTGGTTTCAATGGGAATTCTGCAACAGAGGATCACTTACAGGATCAGGTCTTTGATGAGTATACATGCAGCTAAGGCAAGTTACAGTGTCCCACCAACATTTTGATCAGGAATCATCCTAGACACCAACTACTGCATTTCAGTTTTAAATATTCACTACAGTACTGGGGCAGGAGTTGATTTTCAAAGACACACCGCAAGGTGCAACATATTCAGGGGCAGATGGCAAGGAGCCCATTTGTTGGGGATTACTGATGTGTGAAGATATTTTGCTTTGATCAGAGCAAAGCTCTCAGCCAAAAACATGGACATTTATAAAGATGAAAACCTGTCCCGCCAGCAGTGAATTTGTATCATAATGGTGTCAATACAATGACACAAGACAGCTGGAATATGGGGAAAGGATCTTAAAGAATACAGAGATGTTTTAAATTATCTCTCAAGATAATTATACTAATCCTATAGATGCAGTATAAGAAGATATAGAATAATGTATCCTATGGACTACAATCTACAGCCAGTATGAAAACTTTGAAGACTTAAGTTCTCCATTTAGCCACAGAACAAGTAGCAGCTGAGTACCAGCAGGGAAAGCTCCCCCATACCGCATCACCAATGTCCTTTAACCACTACGTTATAGTGTTGACAAGTAACCACCAGATGCTAGTTTATACCAGCTTGTAGGCTCACTGCATTATTGCCTTAACTTATACCTATGCCTCATCTAGCAAATATCTATACTTATAGGCTACACTCGGGATAAGAAGTTACTTCAGGCTCAGTGCCTATTCAGTCCCTGCCAGGATGACTGCACTTACTGCCAAATATGATGGGTTTCTGTGATGTAGGCATCTAGCCACAGGGAACTGGACTCCCATAACCAACTCACTTCATTTACAGTCCGATGATAGCTTTCTGCTACCAACTGGCACAAGTAAGGTTTGAATCACTAATTTAGAGCTGAAAGTCTCCGTATCTCCTTATGAATACTCTGAGTTTTTCAATGCCCCTACTGTAGAAGATACTGCAGTATCAGCCCAACTTTAATGTTATTCTCAGTCCAATCTTAATTTTGGAAATTTGTTAAGGAGCAGCTGTTTTTCATGACAGGTATATATTACTCATCCACCAACAACTGTATTAAAAAAAGTAAACAATCCTGAGCATACAATTGACTGAGCCGGGTTTAATGTTAGCAAATGTGTTCCCCAAACCTAGGGCCAAAGTCTCTACTGGTGTAAATAAGTGAAACTCCACTGAAGTTAATGGAACTGTGCCCATAATTCTTTACATTGGGAAGGTCTTATATTACTGTTGCATAATCTTAAGAATCTGCAAACCCTTTAGACATGGCAAATACATCTGAGCTTTAAAAACTGATTAATTTGCTATAGCATTTCCCCGTTATGAAAAAGTTCACAATTTGTGATAAGCTTCATGAAGGAGGAGCAATGAAAAATAGGTTACTTAGCAATAACAGTAGTTCTCCAGATTTATTGCCTCTTCAGATCCACAATCTAGGAGCCATGCACTATGCCTCATGAGTCCCAGAATCAATTCAAAGCAGTGAACCGATATGCAACTTAATGTATACACTCAAGACTGTCAAACAGAGATTGATAGAGGCCCATGCTTCACATTTCTTCAATATCTCTTTCAGCTCCCAGAATCATTACTAATTCAAAAGAAATGGGAAAGAAAGAAGAACAAGTGTAGATCTGCAGAGACAATAAATTTAGAGAACAGCCAAGAATCCTTTCTTCTTCCTTCATAATTACTCACTAATTTAGAAGATTAGCTAAAAATACCAATCTAACCTAGAAGGAGGAAGAGGAATATTTAATTATAGATTAAAATAAACTCACAGACAGAGAGAGAACAGTGCCATGTAAAGATTTGGATGACCTCCATGCAGCTGCTTTATAAATCACTGCTATGGATATGTTACCAAGGCAAGCTACAGAAGCTGCTATTGCTCTGTCTGAATGAGCTTTATGGCTTTCTTGAATCTGGATTCCTGCCTGTGTAAAAAGCATGCTAGAATGCATATATCCACTCAGGTAATCTTTATAACAAGATTGAACTCCCCCTGGATTTCTCAAATGCTATCAGTAGACAGGAAGATTTGCCAAACAAAGAGTCTCAATGCTGTCCAAATAATAACGAATAGTACACTTCTCATCCAAAATACAAGTCTAGCAGCACCAAGGAATATTGTGGACTAGGAAAATACATTAGAAGATTAAGATGAAAAACCAAAACCACCTTCTGTAAAAACCTAGGTGGGACTTAAAATGACTTTGTCTTTCTCAAAGACATTAAAGGATGGCTTTATTCCATGAGAATTTTAACCTCACCAATTTGGTCAAAGTACCAACAGGAACCATGATATGGAAAACAACGTTAGAAAGTCCATTAGGTGACAGAACAAAATTAAATATCTCAACACTTTTGTTTAAATACTACTTTTCATTATACAGGTTCCAATTCATATAAGGACTGATCTTGGGAGATGCTGACTATTTTAAATGCCTATTGAAGCCAATAGGAATTGAAAACACTGAGTAACTTGCAGGAACATGCTCATAATGCATAGCTCTAGTGCTAACGATGCCAGGCAAAAATGCTGAAGCTGTTAATTAAAAATAGAGATTTAAACAAAAGTAGCTTTGTATTGATTCTCAGCACCCTTGTTTTTCTCACTCTTGACAGTAATCAGAGAGGGGAGGTCTGATGTCCTATAAACTCCTGTCCGCATCCTCCCCTGGCAAGATCTCAGTTCAGAGATACAGCCTTCGAAGCTGAGGTTCCCTTCTGAATCATCACAGGATCGTGTGCCACTGTCTTCCAGTTTAACTCCATCCACATCAATTACTCTGTTTACAGAAGTGGGAAGATTATCCCTACCACCAGGAGGATTAAGGCTTCTGTTGGTCTTTGTTTTGTGAGAGCTTTGCTCACAGAAGTTTCCTGCAGCCCCTGGTGAATCTTTTTTCTTTCTGTGGTTCATACCTAACAAAGAATAATAATAATAAAAAAACAAATTATGTATCTTCTGATTTATTGTAAACAGTTACAGTCTTTAAATTACACTGGGCAAACTCTTCTCTCAGGTCCTCACGGCAATTAGTCAACCAGGGTATTCTACTATTCCACTGGGAGATTTATGTATGTACCAATAAGGACGTGGAAAAAATGCCAGTTTGGTACCTACTCAGGTGAATTTTGCCATAATTTAGTCTGTACCTTTCTTAGTTTAGAAATTGTAATTAGCATTATCCAATGTATACAAAAATGAGCATACAGTAAATGATGCCTTAATAAAACAAATTATTGTCCAGGATGAATCTCTACTGACTCCCCAAAAATTTTCACACCAGCAGGGGCAAACCCAAAGAGGAAGGATGCAACATTTCCAGCATCAGCCAGAGGAGGAAAAAATAATGGAACAAAATGGGAGGATCACATTTCTTCATTTTATCACCTTATTGAGATATTATTTTTACTCAGCTCGAGATTCATCTGTTCCCAGAAGTTGCAATTCATTCTATTAAGCTGAAAGCTGCCAATTATGGACTGCTAGATTTCAGTGTAAGACCCAATGTAGCATATAGTAGGATGAGAAATAGCCTAGTTTGTTAATGGGGGGGAACACACCTTGTTTGAACAATGCTTGACAATTTTTGCCACCGGACTCCTCGTTGTTTTTGACAATCCTTGATTGTGTCTGATTTCTTAAAATAAAAGTTTAAGGTGCTGAGAACAGTATCCACAATTGAGAGGAATTGTTACAGCTTGGGTCCATTCTCTGGCATTAATCATGCAATCTTATCATTATATCCCTGGTGCTCCCCTATCCCAAGTCTTCCCCATCCATGCTGGTAGGTCTCTCACATATTTTGTACAGTGCCCAAAATCGGTGCTTTGGGCTGAGCACTCAGGCTGAGATTTTCAAAGGCATGCATACACTTAGAAAGTGTGTCATGTTAGCAAATACGTTTTAACTATATAATAAACATGATTTTGCCCAAAGTGAGAACTTTAATTACCCAGATACCTGTTGGAAAAATAATATGGAAAACACAAAATCTTCAATATGTTCTTGGAATGTGTTGGGAACAATATTTCATTTCAGAAGGTGGAGGAAGGTTGTTTTACATGTGAATCTGAAGGTGAAAGGCAACTTGAAAGTGACCATGAAATGATAGATTTCATTATTCTAAGGGAAGAAAGGAGTGATAGAATCAGAATAAGGAGAATGGACGTCAAAAAAGCAAACTTTTACAAACTCAGAGAACTGGAATGCAAGGTCCCATAGGAAAAACATCTAAGGAAAAAGATTGTTCAGGAGAGCTGGCAGTTTTTCAGAGAGACAATATTAAAGGCAAAACAATCAACCATCCTGATATGAAGGAAAGACAGGAAAGAAATGTAAGAAAGACACCAATATGGCTGCATCAAGAGCTCTTTAATGACCTGAAAATCAAAAATGAATCCTACAAAATGTGGAAACATGGACAAATTGCTAAGGACGGGTACAAAAGAATAGCACAAGCATGCAGAGACACCATTGGAAAGGGTAAGGCACAAAATGAGTTACACCTAGAAAGGGATATAAAAAGCAAAAAGAAGAGGGTCTACAAATACACGAGGAGCAAGAGAAAGACAAAGAAAAGTGCACACCTACTATTTAGTAGGGAAGGAGACCTATGAATGACATCTAGTAGACTGAGGACTGTAATACCTATTTTGTTTCAGTCTTCACTAGAAAGGTTAATTGTGTCTAGATGCATAGCACAATTAATATTAACAACAAGAGGGAGAGCAGGGAAGGAACAGGTTAAAGACCATTTAGATAAGTTAGATGTATTCAAATCAGCAGGGCCTGACAAAATTCAGGGAAGGGTACTTAAGGAGCTAGATGAAGCAATCTCCAAGCCATTAGCAATTATCTTTCAGAACTCACAAAGGATGGGTGAGGTCTCAGAGGGCTGGAGAAGTGTAAACACAGTACATATCCTTAAAAGGGTGAACAAAAAGAAATCATAGATCAGTCTGCATAACTTCAATACCTGGAAAATACGGGAACAAATTATTTAACAATCAATTTCTAAGCCCATAGAGGATAATAGCCAACATGGATTTGTCAAGTGCAAATCATACCAAACCAATCTAATTTCCTTCTTTGACAGGGATAATCATGGAATCATAGAATATCAGGGTTGGAAGGGACCTCAGGGGATCATCTAGTCCAACTCCCCTCCTCAAAGCAGGACCAATCGCCAATTTTTGCCCTAGATCCCTAAATGGCCCCCTCAAGGATTGAACTCACAAACCTGGGTTTAGCAGGCTAATGCTCAAACCGCTGAGCTATCCCTCCCCCCCATGGCCTAGTGAATGGTGGGGGAAGCAATAGCTGTGGTATATCTTGATTTTAGTAAAACTTTTGACACAGTACCACCTGACATACTTATAAGTAAAGTTGGAAAATACGGCTTAGAAGGAATAACTATAATTTAGCCGCTCAACAGGCTGAAAACCACACTCAAAGATTAGTTGCTTTCAAACTGGGAGGATGTATCTAGTGGGGTCCTGCAGGGGTCTGTCCTGGGTCCAGTACTATTTCAATATTTTCGTTAATAACTTGGATAGTAGAGTGGAGAGTATCCTTGTAACATTTTCAGATGACACCAAGCTGGAAGGGATTGTAAACACTTTGGAGGATAGGATTAGGCTTCAAAACAACCTTGATAAACTGGAGAATTGGTCTGAAATCAACAAGATGAAATTCAGTAAAGATAAGTGCAAAGTACTACACTTAGGGAAAAAAATTAAATGCACAACTACAAAACGGGAAATTACTGGGTCAGAGGTCCCCAAACTGTGGGGCGTGCACCCCTTGGGGAGGGCATGGAGGAATACTTGGGGTGAGGGGCACAGCTGGGGCTCAGGCCAGCCCCCACAACACCTAGCTCTCTGCTCCTGCCCTGGCCCGAGGTGCTGGCCTCACACCGAAGTCCCCGCCCTGCCCCTGCCCCCAGCCTTGGCCCCCTTACTCCTGTCCATGTTCTTCCCCTCCCTGGAGCTGCACCCCCCCCCCGGGGCGGGGGGGATGGAGGGGGGAGAAGGAGGACAAGGTAAGGCAGACTCAACCCTGAAAAGTTTGGGGACCACTGGGCTAGGTAGTAGTACTACTGAAACAAATCTGGGGTTTATAGCGGGTCACAATTTGAATTAGAGTCAACAATGTGATGCAGTTACAAAAAAGTCTAATATTCTGCGGTGTATGAACAGGAGTGTTAGATGTAAGACATGGGAGGTAATTGTTCTGCTTTACATATCACTGGTTAGGCTTCAGCTGGAGTACTAGCTCAAGTTTTGAGTGCTACACTTCAAGAAAGATGTGGAGAAACTGGAAAGAATCCAGAGGAGAGCAATCAAAATGATAAATGGTTTAGAAATCTGACCTATAAGGAAAAGTTAAAAAAATGAGTACGTTTATTAGTCTTGAGAAAAGAAGACTGAGGGAGGACCTGATACAGCCCTTAATGTATTTGAAGACTGTTAATAAAGAAGGCTGTCTTCAGCTGTTCTCAAAAGTCCACTGAAGTAAGGCAAGAAGTAATTGGCTTAATCTGAAGCAACGAACATTTAGGTTAGATATTTCTAACTATAAGGATAGTTAAGCACTGGAATAGGTTACCGAGGGAGGTTGTAGAATCCCTGTCACTGGAGATTTTTAAGAACAGGTTAGACAAACACATGTCAGGGATGGTCTATGCATACTTGGTCCTGCCTCTTTGCAGGGGGATAAACTACATTGTCTCTCAAGGTTCCTTGCAGCCCTACATTAGTATGATTCTGTAAGAGCAATCATGTTTAAGAATATGATAGCTGGTTGTCATTAACCCTAGAGTGGAGCTCTCAGTTTAACCTCAAGCAGAAAACACATTTTTCAACATCATTTCCACTACATGCATCCGACGAAGTGGGTATTAACCCACGAAAGCTTATGCTCCAATACATCTGTTAGTCTATAAGGTGCCACAGGACTCTCTGCCATTTTTCAGCATGACTTTTTCCTGTCTACACAAACTGCTAAGCAAGGGTTAAAGCAGTTTGAAACATGAGGATGGGGAACACTCCCTATACTTTTAGTAGAGGAGGGGGAGCAGAGTTAGGCTATAGATATTCAGGCCTGTCTGTAAAGGCCTATACTCTAAGAATTTAGGTGTATTCTTATCACTTGGCTAGTTATAGAGGTATAAAAGAATCAAAATCACTGTCTGCCAGTGTAAGAGCCTTCTCTTACTGTGACAGTCTGAGGCCCTGTTCTTAGGCTAAGGCCTTTGGCTAAGCAGCAGAGGCAGCCATAACCTGGGAAGCGAACGGTGGCATCCTCACATTCCAACCTAGTCACACTGAAATAAGGTGCTATTGGGCTGTTAGGAATACAATCCTGTCCTGATAATGCCTATCGCCTCCAGAGAAAGGGAAGTGCCTAGAAGATGTAAAAGGAAACTTAGTTTGATAGCATCCTGTCTGGCAAGAACTCACTTATCAATAGCTGGGATGTGAAATCCTCATTTCTGTGTTTGTTCTATCACTGTAGTCCCCATTTCCCTATTGTTTGGCTGCATAATCTCTGTCTGGTTCTGTGATTGCTTCTGTCTGCTGTATAATTAATTTTGCTGGGTGTAAACTAATTAAGGTGGTGGGATATAATTGGTTAAATAATCATGTTACAATATGTTAGGATTGGTTAGTTAAATTTCAGTAAAATGATTGGTTAAGGTATAACTAAGCAGAACTCAAGTTTTACTAAATAGTCTGCAGTCAATCAGGAAGCGAGTGTGTGTGTGTGTGGGGGGGAATGGGAACAGGGGTGGGGAAATTGGAATCATGTTTTGCTCAGGGCAGGAATGGAAACAGAGACACAGGTAAGGCTCTGTGGTGTCAGAGCTGGGAAGGGGGACACTAAGGAAGGAAACTGGAATCATGCTTGCTGGAAG